TTCGATAAAGCAGTGTTTTCACATTTCATTGTTTTACTCGAAAACTATAATAGATAGAATGAATCCAATATATTAATATGAAAGCTTAATGTTTGGGGAATCCAGCAAGTGTAATTACATTCCTGTGCTCTTCTCCATATTGCTGTAATACGTGTTCAAAGTTGAAAAAACGTCTGAAAAAGCAGTGTTTTCACATTTCATTGATTTATTCGAAAACTATAATAGATAGAATGAATCCAATATATGCATATAAAAGCAGTTATTAAAGAAAATTTAAAAAAATATTAACAGTTTTCAAAATTATATATTTCAAACTTGTACGTTCTCAATCGAAACTCGTACGTGACTAAATTAAATTTGTATACTACTTTAATTGTGTTCATACGTTTTTCAATGAACATATTTATGTTTACTAAATGAATAGTTATTAATATATCTGAAAACATAGAAATTACTGTTGTTTTATTGATCGCATTTGTATCAAAGTAATCCGTACACGTTTGGAATATTAAGTAAAAGAAATTGAGTGTTATGTAATGAGTTTAATACATATTAAATGAACTAATTAAGCGTGCACTAATGAGGGTATAAACATGTAAAGTCATTCGTGGCGCGTACGTTAATAATTTGATACTTAATTAGAGAAACGCGTCGGTGGGAATAATTCAAATGCTTTGATGCAATTAAAAATTTAATAATGAAAATGGAGCGTGGACGTTGCGAGCCCTGGATTTCCACCCAACGCACAAAATGAACAACAACAACAAAAAAAAACAACAAAAAAAAGGGGGACATCATGAACAGGGCGAAACAACAAACGCTCGTACATGACGTGAATTTGGTGCTTTGCAAAATATAAAATTAAAAAAAAAGCTATTTAGTATTCAGATGGAGGAGGAAAAACAGGAATGGAATGTGCAAAATAGAAGAGAAAGTCAGAAACGCGCCGCCACCGCTGCTGCTGCTCTTTTATTATTATTATAACACCGCGAAATCAAATGCGATCCGCTTGTCCGCCTCCGCAACAGTAATTGTAATTTTAGTTCGCGTAGTTTGGCGTCCGCGAAGATTGGATTAGGAGCTGAATCTCATTGCATCCCTTTTCTTTGCAGCAAAAGCATGCAGCAGCAACATCATATTTCTGATTGAGAACGAAGATGACGCTGAACCACAGCAAAACCTGGCCGGTCAGCACGCTGGCCGTGGTCCAGCTAAGAGTGGATCCCAATGGTAGGACGTACAGCACGCAACTGGAGCCGGAAAACAATCCCATGCTCGAACCACAACAAAACCACGTGAGTCAAAGTTCTTAACCTAAGTTTAAACACAATAGTTTTGTCTTTAATTTGATTATTCTATATACTAATTAACGTGTGTGGTTATTAAGTAATTAAATAATTAAAAGAAACAAACCTTTATTGCTTACATAATTACAAATTTATTTATTCATTTTAACGGAATATTATCATTGTTTCTTGTGAACATTTTTAATTTATTGACAAGGTGGATTCTCTTCTTAGTTTTCATTTGTTTATCAAAGAAAACTTGATCTTTTTTTTTATATTTTTTTCTACTCTTATTAAACAAAAAACAAAGTTTAATTAAGTTTTAACTAAATGCAACTTAACTGCAGGAAATTATTTTATGTACTAATTAACGTGTGTGGTTATCAAGTAATTAAATAATTAAAAGAAACAAAACTTTATTACTTACATAATTACAAATTTATTTATTCATTTTGACGGAATATTATCATTGTTTCTTGTGAACATTTTTAATTTATAGAAAAGTTGGATTCTCTTCTTAATTTTTATATGTCTTTAATTTGATTTTTCTATGTATTAATTAACGTGTGTTGTTATCAAGTAATTAAATAATTAAAAGAAACAAAACTTATTACTTATATAATTACAAATTTATTTATTCATTTAAACGGAATATTATCATTGTTTCTAGTGAACATTTTTAATTTATAGACAAGTTGGATTCTCTTCTTAATTTTTATATGTCTTTAATTTGATTATTCTATGTACT